TATTACCTGCAAAATTCTCCTGACCACCAGAGAGAGCATTAATCAATCCCTTCTCTGTGTACCCCATGCCAAGAACATACCTTTATTCAATTGCTGTCATCTCTTACAGCCCTCCATTTACTCATCTTATCAACCATGAGGGCTTCCTGCTCCAGCCATCTTCCTCCAGTCACACTCCTCCTCCAGCCACACTCCTGCCTCAGGGTTTCACGCCAGGTGTTTCCTCTGCTGGGAACTCTGGTCCCACAGATATCTACGTGGCTAAATCCCTACTTCCTTTGAGCTTCTGCTCAAATTGTCAAAAAATCCGAACCTGAGGCCCCACATAAAACAAGCCCACCCCACCCCCATCCTGGTCCCCTTCCACTGTTACATTTGCCATTTTATCTTAAGGATTAATACTTGCTGCTGTTGCTGCTAAGTCGCTTCAGTCATGTCCAACTCTGTGCAACCCCATAGATGGCAGCCCACCAGGCTCTGCCGTCCCTGGGATTCTCTGGGCAAGAACACTGCACTTACCACCTCCTAATTTCCTCTATAACCTATTTATCAAAGTATTTATGTACTGTCTCTAGAATATAAACTCCACAGAACAGGGAACATTGTTTGGTTCACTGATGTATCCCAGGTGCCCAGAACAGGATGTGACATAGAGAAGGGTTTCAATATGTTTGTACCAAATAATGGAATGAGTGGATGAGCCTCCTGTTCCATATCTATAAAATGAGGGATTGATTGCCATTATCCCTAAAGTTCCTCCCAACTCCAATACGCCAGGATCAAAAATATCAAGCCACCAACCTGCCACCTTCAGCTCCAAATTGGCCTCTTCGTAGAAGCCTCCCTTTCTGAAGAAGCAGGTGTACAGCCCATTGTCAGAAACATTGACATTCTGGATACGCACAGCAGCTTCTCCCTGGCTGAGGAGGTCCCTCACCAGCGAGGTCCGCCCTGTGTAAGCAGCCATCTGCTCCTCTTTCTGCTCGAGTCGGTCTTGATAGATGAACACAGCTTCTGAAAACTTGGAGCGGAACCATCTCAGCTCCATGTCTTCGGCACTCATGGCTGGAGATACACGACAGGGTAGCAGGACTTCCCCACCCAGCACTGCCACAACGGGGTCCGGGGGGGCGATCACACTGAACTCCTCTGTGGACACAGACACAGGAGGGAGAGAGGAGGAGACACAGAGGGAGGGCAGAACACACGCTCAGTTTGATGGCAAGACCCAGGCAGGCCGAGGACAGGTGTCGGGTGGGATGAACCCTGACCTGATAGGTTGAGCTGTAATGATTCTGAATTTGAGCTAGACTGATGATAATTTTGTGACCCAGAAGAGATGTCAAAGAGAGTCCCTCTTCCATCTGTATTGCTGTCTTCGCACCCTTCCATGGAAAATTCTAACTCAATGGTTTCCACCTTCAGCATGCAGCAAAATCAGCAAGAGGGCTTATAAAACCACAATGTTGGGCCAAACACCCCCAGAGATTCAGTAAGGTCTGGAGTGGGCCCAAGGATGTGCATTTCTAAACAATTCTCCAAGATGCTGGTACTGATGTTCCAGGGGCGTCACTTGGAAAAGCATAGCTCTATCCTGCCCCCCTTGGGCAGGACTGAACCCGGACCAAAGAGAATACCTGTGGTCAAAGTCAAAACTCCTTGATCATTCAGTCACATCCTATTATAGCCACACTATTCTATTCCAGAGCTAATTTATCTGTGTTCATGACTTTCTCCCCGGCTCAAATGTGTACTAAAAACTAGACACAAGTATTGTTTCCATTAAAAACCTACCTTCACTTTTTTCACCCACATGTGCCCATATTCATCCCACTGACATCTTCTCAGAGCCTTTGGCCTTCTGAGGCCTGGAGGATGGGCCACGACCTGACCCTTGTGCAGGGCGGCCCTGCTGGATCTACAAAGAATGACTCCTCAGCTCCTGAGCTGCTCAGAGCTGATCTGAGTCACCATGGTCTCTCACCTGGAGAAGAGCAGTACACTGGGCTCCCTGGGTCTCTCCTCACTCCCAAGTCTGCAATTCTTTCCACCTGCAAACCATGTCCCTACTCTACTCAAAGCTTTGCCGAGTCTCCTCAGTCCCTTCAGTGGACCAAAGGCCCAGTGGGGATGACACCCAGGGCTTCTGGACACAAGCTCCTACTTCTCGCCCTCTCCTTCACTTTGCTCTAGCCAACACTTACCTCCACAATCTCTTGAACATTCCAGGCCCACAGGCAGCTTTGCACTGGCTGTTCTCTCTTGCAGAAGCCATGCTTCCACCGGAACCCTCACAGGCTCACCCCCTCTTCCAGGTTTTATTCTTATCTCACTGTCTCACTGAACAGCTCACTGAACAGCTCACTGAACACTGCTGCCCACTTCCCACCTCCACATGCCTGACTGCCCTCTACCCCATGCTGCTTCACTGCTTCTCTCATTGCCTATAAAAAACTATTCATCATACTGCTTTCATGCCTTTATTATTTCATGCATTTATTTCATGCATTTATTATAGCCTCCTTGCTACATTGTAAGATTTACAAAGACATGAATCTGCCTGGTTTGCTAATAAAAAGCACCTACCACATGTTCAACACTCTGTAAATATATGAGAAATGGAAAAAAATAGCTAATGAATATGTTAAGTGAAATAAAGATACTACCCAAAAAATGAGGTGAAAGATATTGTCACATATGTCATAGTTGAATTTTTATAACATCATAAACACCTCATTGGATAACTATCAAGGCATTTTGATATTGCCTTGAGGCTTAAAGACTTATAAAGTTATAGTCTTTATATTGAGGCTTAGTGAAGTCGCTCAGTCATGTCCAACTCTTTGCAACCCCATGGAATGTAGCCTACCATGCTCCACCATCCATGGGATTTTCCCAGGCAAGAGTACTGAAGTGAGTTGCCATTTCCTTCTCCAGAGGATCTTCCTGACCCAGGGATCAAACGCAGGTCTCCCCCATTATAAGCAGACGCTTTACCGTCTGAGCTACCAGGCTTAAAGACTCTCAAAAACTGAATGACAATTACTGGTTTGGGGAGCATCATAACTTTTTTAGAGAAGGGACTTCTCAAACAGCAACCCACTCCTGATGGAGAGAACCAGCCCAGCTCCCAGGAACCCACATAGGAAGAGGGGTGGGGTACACTCACGTGCGAAACCCCCAGTGGGCAGCTGCGTGAAGAGGAGCAGGGAGGTGAGGTGGCAGAGCACAGAGCCGTGGAAGAAGTCCTCCATCTCAGAGCTGGGGAGACATAGGGCAGGAGGCAGACCCAGAGCTGGCCCAGAGCTCAGAGACGCAGGTGGGGAGGAGGGCTCAGGGCCAGAAACAGTCCTGCAGGAGCAGAGACCCCCCTGGATCCCTGTGCTGATGAGGTGCTGGGCTCCCCACAACTCTGACACCCAGAAAGCACTGAGCCTGGGCTCCTCCCAGCCCTGGAGAAGCCTCTGTGGGGCTGAACAACCACAAGGTTTACTTGGGAAAAATGCCCCCCTTCCCTTCCCACCGCAATGGCACCTGCAGCCCAGCCCACTCTGCCCAGAATACCAGCTGCTTCCTTTCCCAGCACCGGGGGCCCGAGGTGGGACCATCCTGCATCTTCCCATTATTTACAAGCACCAGTCATGCCCTGGGACAGACGCCCAGACTCAGCTCCTCACTGTGAAGTACAGGCCAGCTCCCACTTGGGGCCCCACAAGTGTGCTCTTCAAAGGGACTCTGGGTCCATCAGAGGCACTATGTTCTGCCTTTGCTGCTGGGTTAGTTAGCCTGGACTTCAACCCCACCCAGCCCTTTCCTGCAGGGACCAAGGACATGGCCCGCTCCCAGGTGCCCAGTCAGTCCCCACAGACAGCTTAATCCTCATCCGCACTGTCTGTGAAGAAGATTTCTGCATTGGGGTTGGACATCCCAGTGGAAACAGAGCAGCCGAGGAGAAAAAATGAGTCCTCATCAGAGAAAAGACCCCAAATGCCTTCCTGTCAAAGTTGGGGAGGAGGCACTTAGGGTCCTGGGAAGGACAGACTCTGGGGGCAGAGTGCTGAGTCCTCCCCCAAGGCTGAGGCCTTGTCTGTGTGATGACCTTAGTCAAGCTTCTTAATCTTCTGTGCCTGTTCCTTCATAAACAAATTGGGGATATTAACAGCATCTAGATCCCAAAGTTTTCATGAGAATCACAAGAATTAGAATCACTACAGGGAATTAGAACAGAAGCGGATGCTATAGCAATAATACTAAAACAAATGAATGAAGGTACACCCCTCACTGTGGTGACCGTGGGTCTCCTTAGAGCCACTCCACCATCCAGCACCACCCACCCTGCCCCCAGCCCCACCACCTGCTCAGCCTCCTCCTCAACCCTGATGCTCCCTGCTTGCTCTTCTTGCCCACAAGTGTCTTCAAAACCCACTTACCTGCTCTGAAAGGCCAGGACTTCAGAAGCGTCTCTAAACTCAGCATGAGAAACAGCACGAGAAGGTTCAGGGACCCTGGCAGACCCCAAATCTGCCCTCAGAATTTGCACCTGAAGTTAGTCACTCAGAGCCCCAATCCTGATCCGGATCCACGTCTGAGTTCCTCATGTCTGGGGGCAGGTGGTCTCAGGAGAGTGGAGAAGCAGCAGAACCTGGCCCAGGGGTATCTGCAGATACCAGACCGTGGGACCCTCGGAAACGATCCCGGACAGCTCAGTCCGCCCTTCCCTGGTTCCTTCACTATTCGAAAGTGAAACCTGGATAAAGCAGTCCCAGCAGACTCTGCCCTGCCCTCTGGACAGTCACCCAGTTATCAAGAAGAAAACGGCCTGATCGGAGCAGCAACAAGAGAGTGGATTCAAGTAAAGCTGAAACCACTCTGAGGGGGACAGATAGACGCACAGGCTCAATAACCATTCTCGACAAGTGCTCCACTCCAGGCTGTGCGTGTGTGCTCAGTCACTCAGCTGTGTTTCACTCTTTGTGATCCCATGGACTGTAACTTGTCAGGTTTCTCTGTCCATGGAATTTTCCAGGCAAGAATACTGCAAAGGGTTGCCATTTCCTACACCAGGAGATCTTCCCAACCAAGCAATCTAACCCACGTCACTTGGGTCTCCTGCATTGGCAGGCCGATTCTTTACTACTTCGTCACCTGGGAAGACATACTCCAGGTTGGCAGCCTTCTAACCTCGGAAGTGGGGACTGTGTGCAGCATGCAGTCCACACAGACTAACACCTAGTCCCCGCCTGATTCCACGTGGGCTAGTAAAGTGTACAGGGCACAGTCCCCAGCGTGGCTGCTTCCTTTTCTTCCCCAGCAGCTGACCCAGGAACTCCCACAACCTGGAGCCCCAAGGGCTAACCCCCAGGCTTCAGGTGTTTCCAGGACCAACCCCAGAACCTTGGCTGAATGGATAGTGCCCTAAGGCTTCTTAAGATTGTGTATCACCCATGGCCTGGGTACAGCCATTCAGACCCCCTTTCTGCCAGGCCCAGTGAACACCAGGAAAGGCCTGATGCTCTGCTCTCCAATAAAAAAAAACCAACGGGACTGGCTCTTCCTCTCCAACTCATCCCTTACTAAATTTTCCTTACCTAGTAAAGGTCACCTGGGTTCAACCAGTTTTCTCTGCCAGAAACATGAAGGGCATCTTTCACATCCCATTCTCCCATAAAATGTGTTTCTAAAACATTCAAGATTTTTCACAAATTCACATTAAGAGCCATCACATACTCTCATTTCTATGCTGACACAGAGTTTTCCTCATGGGTCTCCCGCCCCACCACCAGCCTCACTCCCTCCAGGTCATTTTCCTTCCAATGTCATCATGCTCGCAGGTCAGTTTATGTCAACTTTATGCCTCACCCTTCAAGGGACCCCTCTGCTTCAACCTCTCCTCTGTGGCTCCGAGGCCTCCAACTTCCTGTCTGAATTCATCCCGTGCTTCTCCCAGCTGCCCCCTTCCTGGTCTCACCAGCCACTGGATGATCCTGCCCTCCCCTTCCTCTCCCACATTCCTCATGGTCCACCACTGTACAGCTCTCACCTCAAATTACCTTGCTCAAGGCATACTTTGCTGACCTCCTGACCCCCATTATGAGATCCATACACAAGCCTTTTGGGGTTTTGGTGGCACCCTGTCTCCTTCACAGCCCTGACTGGGGAATGTCGAGGGAATCCAGGAGAGGAGGCACTCTTTCCCAGCATATAGGAAGCACTCCATAAACAATGTTTGAGCTGACAGGCAGGAGTCTCTTCAATAGCACACGGGCTACTCAACCTCATCCAATTTCACAGGATACTCTAGTCCACAGAGAAACAGGAAGACTGCTAACTCTGAACTAACAGAGTCAGCCTGTGGAAGGCTACAACAGCCCCACCATCTGCCCATCTCTGCTTTCCTGTCTGCTGCTAAGGTGCTGATAAGTCTGTGCGGCACCATAGATGGCAGCCCACCAGGCTCCGCCATCCCTGGGATTGCCATTTCCTTCTCCAATGCATGAAAGTGAA